ACAGGTAAAGATCCTGCTATGTTCATTCAAATCCAGTAAGTTCTTATCCCCACTTTCTGAGTCCCCACTTCTAAGATCTTCACAAATCTCAGACCTTCTACAACCAAACACACCACCAAAGACCACTTTTTACTTGCTCCAGACCTGTTACAATTAGTTAATGGGACCCATACTGTCCAACAAGTCAATCCAAACTTGAGGGAAGATGCTACTCACTGTTATCCTATCCTATCCTATCCTATCCGGCATTGGCACTAACCCCAAATGCCTCTTGGTTTAACACCACACACTCACTGGCCAACTTACTCCAAGACTTCCCAGCACAAATAATGGGAAACTCCACCTGCTTCTTGGGAAATGGACCCCCAAATGTATCAGCTGACTGTGGCCCTGTAACCTGGCCGAACACCCCACTCCAGGCAAATTATGGAACTGGCTTTGTGTGCTATGATGGGATCTACCATGTATTCTCCCCACAAAACATGAGCCTCTGCAGCATGGCTTTTCTGATCCCAGACTTAAATGTCTACCCAGGTGACCAAGGTCCTGTGCTCCTCCTTGTGTCCTGCCAAAAATGAGACCCTGTGTTTCTGCCTATCCTGGGGAGCATAGCAATAGCAGAAGGCCTCACTATGAGTGCAATGGCTCTTGGGTTATGACAACGTCAATACGTACAATTAGCCAACCAAGTAATAGGAGACCTTGAAAATGTTCAAAATTCTATTGACACCCTCCAAGAACAGAATGACTCTTTAGCCATGGTTGTCCTACAGAACAGAAAGGTTTTAGATCTTGTATCTTCCCAACAAGGAGGTATTTGCCTCTTCTTAGAAGAGGAATGTTGCTATTATGCAAACAAATTTGATGTAATTAAAGAAAACTCCCCACAGCTGCAAAATGCCTTGAACAAAAGGCCCAGGGAATATGAGCGGGGTCCTCTCTGTGGGGCTCCTTAGAGCTCTTCCCCACATGGATTGCGGTTTTATTAGGACCCCTGATGACTGTCATGCTAATTCTCCTGTTAGGCCCCTGTATAGTTTGCTTTATGACCCAATTTCTTTCTAAGTGTGTTGAGGCTATGCACCACCAATTGTTTTTACAGACTACACTGACCTATCAACTCCTCCCATCAAAAGGAAAACCTTTCTAACCCAAAAAATGGGGGAATGTGAAGGAAACTTTAAAATTTAAAAATCAACTAGTACTCTGACACACTATTAGGACAAAATAAGATCACGCAGCCCACCACATAGCTCATCTGTTAAGACTCACTCAGCCTTGACTGACTGCACCAGAGATAACCTGACCCAGCTGTTTGACCACACCCAGCTGCACAGCCTGTACTTTCCAGCCCCCAAACTTGCCGTTTGCTGACTTGAAGGAGTTTCTACTCAACAATAACTGATGCCACCCCAGAAAAATTCACCATGCTTTTAAGCTTTTGTATCTCCTGCTTCCAAAACCTATATAAACTAAGCCCAAAACTGGCTCTGGGGCTGATGCTTTGGAAGTGATCCCCCATCAGCCCACTAGCATAATAAAGTTGGTTGCCTTCCAAACCCTTGGTGCAGTGTTTTTCATTCAGTTTTGTACCAGGTTCCATAACAGACATAACAAAATATTCTTAAATTATGGAGCCTTCCATGCCATTTCAACAAACTCCAAAGACTGATCTTCTGGCACAATACATTAGCATCATTTCCAAAAATATCCTTAAAGGGCTGGGGATTTAGCTCAGCAGCAGAGCGTGTACCTGGCAAGCACAAGGTTGTTGAGTTTGATTCCTGGTACCGGAAAAAAAAACAAAGAAAACAAAACAAAATATCCTTAAAAATAGCAAATTAACACAGGCACAGGAGTAAACCTGCCCTAGAGGAGGTGGTGGCTGGGATATTGCTCTCAAGGAACTTGAAATACTGGTGTCTGGAGGTGAAGAAGATGGTACTCAAATAGAAATTCAAACTTGTTTTTCACTTGCACAGCAGACCTCAGCTGCAGGGCCAGGGGAAAGAGGAGGCAATTCCTCTGGGGAAGCTTCCAGACAGACAAGGGCATTAGAATATCCACCCTAGCCCAAACCACCACACATGAACACCCTATGCACTGACCTGGCGACACTGCACGGGCTGTCACTCACACATCGAAAATGTCCCCTATGACCTTCCTTCTGCAGCTTTCTTAGTGTGACTTTAGTAACGAAGTCTGCCTTCAGAGGAGCACCAGTGTGTGCAAGGATGAAGATGTGACTGGCATTTTTAACTTTTGTTTGCATTTCACTGGTATCTTTCACCTAAACCCCCCAGTAAAAACTTCTTTCCCCTTTTACTCACTTTATTTATTCTTTTATTTATTCATTTTTTCCTGATAATTAGGATGGATCATGTTTAGAGTCTGCGGATGGACAAACTCTGTGTGTCCTTATTACATCCTTCCTACACACACCACAAAACTCTCCATACCTCACTTTGACTTTTTCTGTCCTCATTTTTATGTATGAAGAGGGAAAATCCATTTGTCCCATCTTCAGCTCCCCCTTTCCAGGGGTGGAAGCAGGCAGACTCCACTTTCCACCGATTTCTATCGCCTACAGCCCTCCTCCCACCTGAGCCACTACACTGTCTTAGCAGGTGTTCCTCATGAATACACTCCAAGCACTGAGTTGAGCTTAATTCTTAGAGCACATGACCACTTTTATAATCCCAGGGGCTGTGAACGTGTTTTTGATTATGTGTTAACTTCCTTAGATGGCTACAAAGTGGTCACTGCTACGTATACCCTTCTTGCTTGCACAGAATTTTCACTGTGAATACTCAGCCACTCTTTCACATCACCTGGATGTCTGTATTTCATGCCAGAGTTGCTCTACGCCTTCTGTATTGTAAGCGAGGCGAGGAATCCATGATCAGCCACCTGGGATATTTTGACCCCCTATTTGATTCTTCTGCACTTGGACATGTGTACATCTTCCGTTCTTAGTTATGATCACATCAGTCTTTTGGCCAAAAGTACGATGAATAAGTGGATTTGGCAAAATACCAAAGGATTCAAGCAGATTGCTTGTGCTCTTGTACGAAAATGGCTGCTATTAAAATAATGTTTGGGGCTGGGGCTCTAGCTCAGTGGCACAATGCCTGCCTGGCAAGCGCAAGGTCCTGAGTTTGATTCCTGGTATTCCCCCACTAAAAAATAATGTTTGCGTGTTTTAATCAGATACAGTAATACCTCAGTACATGAACTTAATTCTTTCCACAATCCTGGTTGCAAACTGAATTGGATGAGAACCAAATCAAATTTCCCCATGAAGTCAACATTAACGTTTAACTAACCACTGAAGTTGATTCAGTTCTCATCCAATTCTGTTTGCAACAAAAATCATAGAATTAAAGTTTATGAACCAAAGTACTACTGTATTGGAGCCCCAAGTGTTGCCTGAAGTGTTGCCTGGGGTAGTTGCCTGTACTTCAAAGCAAGGCTAGGAACTAGGGCTGCACACTGGGCACAGTAGCACATTCCTGTAATTCTTGCACTCAGGAGGCTGAGGCAGGAAGATTGTTTTAAGTTTAAGGCCTGAGCTACAAAGGGTTAAAGAGCTTGAACTACAAAGTGAGACCCTGTCTCAAAAAAACACAACCAACCAACCAAAGAAAACACCTTTAAAAAAAGGAATTGGCTGCCAGGCATGGTGGTACACACCTGCAATCCCAGCACTCGGGAGGCTGAAGCAGGATTGCTGTTAGTCTGAGGCCAACCTGGGCTACAAAGTAAGTTCAAGGCCTGGCTGAACTACATAGCAAGACCCTGCCTCAAAAAAAAAAAACCAAAGGGATGAAGGGGGTTCTTTCATACTGTACAGGTTATCTATACCTGTCCTATGTTTTATTATGCCCAGAAATGTGCTTATGTTTTATTCTTGGGCGCTCCTGAATTTAAATATTTTTGAGACAAGGTCTTATTATGTTGCCCAGGCAGGCAGAAAAGTCCTGGACTTAAGACAGGGCTTAGCCATGTAGAGGAACAGAGGTGCATCAAGGAGACACTGACATTTACCCTTGTACTGAGCTACAACCCCAGCCCTTTTACTTTGACACTGGGTGTTGTTAAGCTCCCTCAGCTGGACTTGAACTCATAATCCTCCTGCTTCAGCCTCCCAGGGTGCTGGGATCACAGGTATGCACCAGCAGGCCCAGCTGGCTCTGAGGACAATGTGACTAGCGTGGCAGGGCTCAAAGAGGGAACAGACAAAATTGTGCCATTTTCCATTTTTCTGTTAATGATGCTGACACAGGCTGTAGGTTTCACGGAGTGACCAGACACAGCTTTCACAGTTTCTTGACTATGTGATCTGGTGGAGATGGCTGCTCACACCTCAGGCAGGGAGGGCCCTGCAGTTCCTCCCCAGAGGCGGCAGCTGAGCCCTGTGGCAACCAGAAGTCAGTACAGCTGCCCAAGGTCAGGCGCCAGCCATTCCACCCTCTTGGTGTGAGAAGCCATGACTAACGGGCAGCCGTGAGGGAAACCAGGCAGCAGAAGGCCCTCGGTACCCACAGGACAACAGCGCAGCGGAGCCTGTCAGGGGGAGGATGGTGCCTCAAGGCCCGGAGCTGGCCCTGCCTCAGGACGTCCTGGCCAGGGGGTGGTCACAGACGTAGGCCCGCTTCTCCAGGATGCGCTTCGACACTTTCTTAACCTGCTCGTCCAGGTTTCCAGGGCCATCTGAGAAGGCACAGAGAGGCAGTGGGGCTCTTCCCCCCTGTGAGGACACTAGGGGGGCTTTTGACAAGTCATCTTCACTGCAAGCCCCGCCCCTGCAAGGTTGATTCTGGGCAGCCAGTCACGACAGAGACAGGAAAGGGGCCAAGGCCCCCTGCTGAGTGGAAGGGCTCACCCTTCTCTCCTCCAAACCCCAGGTCTCATGGGTGGGGGATGGGGGAGGCCCTGCTTGGCAAAAGGTCCCAGGGAGAGAACCATCTGGTCCCCTCCGCAGCAGGGCCCGGTCCCACCTGCCACACCAGGGCTTAGACCGACCCTGGGACCACAGGAATCACAGATGCTCATGGTAGCCCTCTGCACTCTGACTGGAAGCAGGGCAAGCTCAGCCGGGACACTGCTCAAAGCCTAGAGGGTTGTAAGTGTCACACAGAGACCCTGAGCCACATGTTCCATGATATGGCCATGCAGCTGCGGGGAAGCCCAGGCCTTCCGGACAGGGGCGGGCACAAGGCCCCATTCTCCAGGCGAGGTCTATGCCCTCTGCAGAAAATCTGAGCTCTTTCTGTTTGGTGTGGAGGGATTACAGAGGCAGGTAAAGTACTGTCCCCTCCTCAGTGACCTTCCCTAGGCAGGTATGAGGCCATGGTTGCACACCTGCATGGCCCTTGGGCTGCATGGGGGCCTCTGGGCCCAGACCTGCCCTCCAGCAGACGAGGCCTGGACATAGTTCCTCATGCACAGAAGCCCAGATTTGGCCCCCTTCCCTCCAGCGAGCTGCCCTCTTACACTTGTCCAGCTGTGACAGGGTGAAGAGATTCTGGAAATAAGCTTCCGCACAGAACGTGGTGGCCAACAGAACCTGCCGAACCAGGTGGGAAGGACAGTCACTGAGGGCCCTGAGCTGAACTCTGCCCTCCAAGGGCTCAAATGTTGCCAAGCTGGGCAGTGTGACTGCAATCAGGCCGGGCTCAGAAGTCACACAGCCTTGATGCTAAGTGTAGCTGGAGCCACACTGCCCTGTCCCCAGAAGCAAGCTACTCGGGGTCTGAGCCTCAGGCCCTCCTCCCTGACGAGGACATCACAATCCTAGTGTCCTCAGGCAAGTATGGGATGCCACATGAGAAAGCTGGCACCCAGTAGGTGCCCACAGGGCGAGACCCTATCCAGGGGGAGCGTAGTCCCTCCACAGCCACAGCACAGAAAGCCTATGCAGCCCCCCTAGGATCCGAGGCCCCTCTGTCTGAGCGACACTGGGCACCACAACCTCCAACTCACCTACCCGCTCCTCCCAGGCCTCCCGCTCCCGGCCGCTGGCCTCGTTAACGCGCCACAGGACACAGACTGGCTCAGAGGTCACAGCATGGCTCTGTTCCAGCACAGACCCAAAATTGTGCAGGTCACTCAGCGTCCACAAGCCTCAGTTTCCTGGGTGGGGCTGGGAGGTGCTCACCTCATGGTCATGGTTCTGGAGTCCAATGCGGACGGAGCGGCTGGCCCGTGACAGCACCGCTGTCATGCCGTACAGGTTGATGAGGACATTGGCCACCCGCTTCATCACCAGCTGCTCTTCCACGATGGTCTGGGAACACAGCAAGGTATAAAGACCTGCTCCTGCCCCAAAGACCCTCACAGGCCACGGCTCTGCAGGCTCAGCCTCCTGTGTCCCTCTGGCTGGGGAAGAGGCTCCCAGCTGCCCTGGGGCTCTCTTCTTTTTACTTTTAGACTGCCTGTCCTCAGGCAGAGATCAAGGCAGGACCCGGCCCAGCAACGCGGCTAACAGCAGGGGCCAGTGCTTAGTGTGCTCAATGTCACAGGTGAGTTCCTGGTGTTAGGCCCAGGTGACAAGGTCTCGCTCTAGGCCCATCTCACGGCTATGCATGTGGGCGCCGGTTGTACTCAGGCCTGGCAGACCCGCTTACCTTCCCGAAGCGCAGCAGCAGCGTCTCCACAGTCCGGCCAAAGTAATACACATTCTCCTCAAGCTTGGTGGCACTGTCCTGGTTGGCCAGGAGACAGGACTAAGCTTGGCATCTCGTCCAACCAGGAACCTTTCCATCCCATCCGACACTGTGCAGCATGGGACTCACGGCCCAGGTGGGGTGGGGCATCAGGGTGCCCCCCAAGCTCCCGTTGGGGCCCAGACCCTTGGTCATATCCCAGGATAGGGAATTCTTAAAGGAGGAGCGACTCTGCTGAGCCTACTCACCCCAAGACTAGGGTGCACAACGCCAGAGTTGTCCATCAGCCCCAGGTCCACGCTTCGGCCTAGAATGTCCCACAGCCTCCGGCTGGTGGTCTGCATGACTACAGCCACACTGCCCCCTTTAAGTTCCCTGCAGAAATCCCCACAGGCCTGTGACTCCAGGCACCCCAAGCTCCGTGCCTCTCCCTTGGCTGGGCACACTGGGCTCTGGCTTACTCTCCCAACCTGTTAAGAGAGCAACTAGCTCCCAATCAAGGACCCAGAAAAATGCTACCAGCAGCCTGTGCTTGGGCTCTGGCAGGGATCTGATGGCTCTACCCTGGGACAGGGGTAAGAGGAGGGTGGGCAGGGCTGGTCTCAGGGTGGCCTCAGGGCTGGGCACCCATGTACAGACCTCATGTGGGAGGCAGGGGCTACTGAGGAAGCGGGAGATGGAGTTCCAGTGAGGATGGGAAACACGTGACTCTAAGGACAGGGAAGAGGGAGACAAGCTTGAGGTCCGGTTTTCCAGGACCTGCAGGCCCTCCTCCATGCAGCCAGGCTTTCAGGGAGTCTGGCAAGACATATCTAGTCCACGTCTCCATCCCATCCCAGGGCAGGAAGCCTTTCACTCTCAGCTCTGAGCATGGCACCCAAAGAGCAGGAACGGCACCTACTTGATCCTTGGGGTCAGGACACGTCCGGCATACTGCAGGCCCGTGAGGGCAACAAACATCCGAAGGATCTCATTGGTCCCCTGTGACCAGAAGTGCAGAAGTCAAAGGCCACCCCTCTGTGCAGCTCTGGCAGTGCCGGGTGACAGAGCTGGCCCCGGCCTGCTCATGGTGGAGGCTGTCATTTCAGAAGCACCCAGGACAGGGTTGAGACCACGGGTCAGGGAATGCACATAGGTGGGGAGGTGGCCAGCGGCCTGGCTTCCCTCTGGGCCCCAACACCTCTCATGGCCAGCCTTGCATGGGCCACTCCTTTGTCTGAGCCCGACTCCTCCTTAAAGTGGACAGGCTTGGAAAGGCCCCAGAAGGAACCCAGGTGGGAGGCGCACAGAAAAGGGTCCTCTGGAAAGCAGCCTGGGCCAGCTCTCTGGCACCTCCAGGCTGCAAGGTCTCCCTCTGCAGAGCAAGGTATGCAGGTTAAGGGGGCCCAGTGAGGAAGCAACCCACATGGGAACTGTCCTTCACAGCACTCCCAGGCCAACGAGACAAGGAGGGAAAGTGGGGCATCAGCTTGGGGCATGGGAGCACATGGATGGCTGCAGGTCACTCACCTCCAGGAGGAGCAGCGCACGGGCATCACGCAGCATGCGCTCATGGGGGTGGCCCCTCATGTAGCCTGAGCCCCCCAGGATCTGCAGTGCCTCGCTCACGCAATGCCAGGTGCCCTCAGAGCTGAACACCTGCCAAGGGCAGGCGAGGTCAGCCCAGGGGGCACAGCCGCCGCCCAGTCCCCTCCATGGTCAGCTTGTGTCCCCCTCTGGTGCCAGCTCTGGTGGCACTGGGATTACCTTCACCATGGCTGTCTCGATGGAGCAGTCGGGACACTCTGGGTGGTCCAGCATCCCTGCAGTGAGGTAGGACATGCTCTCCATCGCGTACACCTTCTGAGCCATCAGCGCAAACTTCTCCTGGAATGTTTGAGGGAAACACAAGCAAGACGCAATGTGCAGATGCTGAGACCCAGGTCTGCCATCCAGGAGAGAAGCAACTGAGCCAGGAGCCCTGCCGGCCCAGGAGACTCTAACCCAGCCTTCACAAAAGGGGTCCCTGCGTCCCATCCAAACGAGCTTGCCCAGTCTTCTTCCCAAACCACTGCACGGAAGGCCAGGACAGAGACAGGCGCCAAGCACACGTTTCTTGACCACATGGGGAAAACGCAGCCTCAGTACCTGAATTAACCCGAATTCACTGAGCTTCCTGTTGAACTGCTTCCTCTCACAGGCATACTCGGCGGTCAGCTCTAAAGAAGAGCAGAGTTGTTGCAGAGAACTGAAAACTTCCTGCCTGTCCAAGCGGTTTCCTGGTCCATCACCATCACCCTTCACACACCCTGACCACCGTGTGCCGACACTGGGTGCCCCGAAAGCCAGAGCCGCCACATCTCAGCACTCGTGGTCACAGAACACATGCTCACTGAGGGACCTGCAGGCAGTGGCAGGAGTGACGCCACACACAGACCTGAACCTGGCCCAGTTCTCATCAGTAGAGGCCCAGGCTAAGAGCTCCACCTCCCTGACAACGCTGCCCACCTCACAGGGCCACTCAAAGATGCCATCAGACAGAGGGCACAAGGCGCCTCCCATGAAGCCAGGTGCACACAGGGTCCTAGACAGGGCAGGCACAGTCCATCCCATCACAGGTGCCCACAGCCATGGCAGGAGGGGGCAGCCCTGCTGCAACTCAGGCCTGGGTCTCAGGGCACATGGTTGTGCATGGGGCTGAGTTCTTAGTACCCATGTGACACAGCAGCCCCCCTCCCAGGCTCTGACAGCCCCAGGCTCCCTGGAAGCCCAAGTCTCCAAATGCTTCTCCTTGTGACCCGGTGCCATGTCCTCAGGATGGGCCCAGCATCTGCCCTTTCTGGCTACGGGATCTCCTCAGGGGTTCTGCCGCCTGTGGTGGACAGGCTGGTCCTGCACACCCCGTGAAGCTCGTACCCTGAGAGCACAGCAAACAGAGGCGCCCTGATTTGGGGCCAGAGATGGGCACGGACTGAGACCCTGCTGCATGGTCCGGGGTAAACCACCTGCCCTCTCTGGGACTGTTTCCTCACCAACCAAACAGAGGGAAGAGTCAACCAGAGCCTTCCTTCGAGTGCCCACCTTGCCCCACACTGTGTGAAGCATAGTGCTGGGGGGGGGCGCTCTCCCTAGGATCCCTCGCCAAGGTCACTATGGTAACAACGGTTACAAGGCTGTTTAAGGTCACAGACGGGAGAATCCCAGCTAGCAGTACTCTGACAGACAGGAACACAAGGGAGATCTGGGGCTGAAGTGCCTGCACTCCGGCCGAACCTTACTCACCACAGTGCAGTCACCTAGCAGGTGGGGCCTTGCGGGGAGTGGAGCACCCCTCTTCCCGCCTCAGCTGGGACCTGGCCTCCTCCTCCCTTTCCTATGCCCACCCAAGGGAAAGGGAAAACCTCCTGGCCGCAGCGGGCACACCGGGGATGGGACAGCGCTGCGGAGGGTTGTTGGGCCCGACTCACCTACCAATCAGTTTCCTGAGCATCCCGGCCACAACACTGCCCAGGCTGAACCTCCCACTGTTGAGGACATCCACGGCCACCTGCAGGGACAGCAAGAAAACCCAAGGACACTGACACAGGCAGAGGGAACGTACTGCACCACACTTGTGTATTTTCCCAAAAAGGTTTCTTGAAAACTAAGGAAGAGCTTAGAGAACCCTGCTGGTTCTCTAAACCACAACCCCACACAAGCAGGTGGCATAGCCCCGCTGTGGCTCCAACCATGCACAGGCCACTGACACCGTCCCAAAGGCACCGGCCAGTCCCCCTCACCCTCAGGGGAGGCGTGGACAGACCAGTATGCCCTATCAGCCAAGCAAGCTGTGTAGAGGTTCCCGCAGGGCCTTGGGCTCAGCAACTACTCAGGAAGAGGCCCAGGCTCGGCAGGACGAAACTCCCCAAGGCCCCACCTCCAGTGTCTACTCAACACCCAGGCCAGGTGTCTATGACAGCCTGAGAGCTTTGTCACTGACCGGGACAGCAAATGCAGACACCTGGGACATACAATCACTAAGGGTGTCTGGGGTCCTGGAGGCTGCCCTGCCTCACCACAGAGGGCACCGGTGCAAACAGCCAGTGACCTGCAGGTGGCCAGTGTATGAGAGTGCTAGCCCCGTGCGGACTCTTGGTGTGCGAAGTGGGGACAGGCAGCCAAGGCTCCCCAGAGAAGACCCAGAGCTGGGCCTCCAGCAGGCAGCAAGGAAGAGTTCCCCAGGCAGAAGGCTTTTCAGAGCACTGGGCCTGACACCCTTAAGCCCCAGAGGCAGGGCTGGGCCGAGACAAGAAGGAAGGAAGGTGGACAGAAGGCTCAACTTCATCTGCACTTTGGCTTCCTCTGGAAGGCCTGGCGAGATGCAATGTGGATTAATAAAGCACATCACAGAATTGGAATCTGTGCTTACTGTCCAATAAGATTCCAATAATTGGAATCTGTGCTTACTGTCCAGATGAGGGGATTTTTCAGACAGACCTGGCAGAAAACAGCAGGTGCTCAGGTGTTGGCGATGTCATGCCACAGTGGGAGATGCAAGCCCACCCCAGAACTGGGACCCTGAGGCCTCCCTCCCTGGGCCCATACACTCCCTACTCCCTGGCACACGGGATGGCACTGGCTCTTCAGTCTGCCAGGTAACTGGATTCTTCTATACTTCTGCCTGGATTCCCACTCCCTCTTTCAAAAGCTAACTCAGCCCCTTCAGAGTTACTATTACTCTCACTCAAAAAAAAAAAAAAAAAAAAAAAAAAAACCAGGAAAAACAAGTGACTCTAGGCCTACTCCCTGGTACATCCCTATCTGAAGAACCCTGGACCTGTGCTCAGTCTTTCTCCAACCCTGGGGGCCCTCGCCAACCTTTTAAACATAATTATTAACACCCATTCACCACACAGATTAGCAGGCTCACGGACCTTCCACGCATGTGCACACTTTGATTACACTCACCCACTCTTCTACCCGCTCCCTGTCCTGTCCCACCCTCCCACCTTCCAAGGCCCTAGAGATACCTCTTTTGTGTTCAGGATTTTTTTAAAGTTTTTACATATGAGAAAAAAGATTGTGATACTGTCTTTCTGTTGAGCTGACTCCACTTAACATGATGTCGCCCAGTTTCAACTACTTTCCTGCAATCAACAGCACTCTCTTCTTTATGAGTAAATAATAGTCCATGGGATATACAGACACTATTGCTTTACTCATTTGATGATGGACACTGAAGAGGGTTCTACTTCTTGGGTACTGCTAACAGTGCTGCAAGAAACACAGGTATGCAGGAGCTTTTCAGCGTGCTGGCTTCTTCTCTGGATAGACAGCCAGCCAGCAGGACAGCTCAATCACGTGGTAGTTCTATTCTTGTCTTCTGAGGGCCCTTCAGACTGTTCCATGGTGCAATGGCCTTCTCAACACCCACACTGGGTCCTCAGCTCCTCTGCCACAGAATGCTTTCCATAATGTTCACGACCACTTTGAGATCCCAACTTCCCCAAAGCAAGATTCAGTAGCCCCTTCCTGTTAACTATATTTCTGCTCAGGTTTTCTGAGTATTCCAGAGGGAAAAACCCTCACTTTCACCTCACGTCAGCCCATCCAATTCTCACCTGGCTTATTATTGGTTTATGATCTTGGGATTCGATCAAGTGTATCATTCTTTTTAGTATTTAGGCTAAGTGGCAGCAATCTCACTGGGAACCACAAAGAATTTTAGAAATAAATTTTCTTTTGCGTATTAAAAGTCAATTGTTTTTCAATCACAATGGCAACATTTTAAAAAACACAGTGTTGTCTGAGATTCCATCTCACCCCAGAAAGAATGGCTATCATCAAGAAATCAACCAATAACAAATGCTGGAGGGGCTGTGGGGAAAAAGGAACTCTTCTCCACTGTTGGTGGGAGTGTAGACTGATGCAGCCACTGTGGAAATCAGTCTGGAGATTTCTCAGTTAAGCTAGGATTAGAGGTCCCATTACCCAGCTATTCCCCTCCTGGGTATTTTTCCAGAAGAACTGAAAACATCATACCACAGTGATATATGTGCACCCATGTTTATAGCAGTGCAACTGGTAATAGCTAAATCTTGGAAACAACCCAAATGTTCATCAACTGAAGAATGGATAAAAAAGATGTGGTATTTTTATACAATGGTATATTACTCAGCTATAAAGAAAGATAAACTCGAGACTTTTATAGGTAAATGGATGCAACGAGAGACCATATTCATAAATGAAATAAATCAGATTCATATGTGTAAACATATTTCCTCCCTACTATAAGAACCTGAAAGAGTACATAAAGTCTGAAAAGTGCAACAGATATTGTGAAAGGGAAAAGAAACTGCTCAAATAGGAAGGAGCAACTGGGATGAAGGAGAGAAGAGGAAAAGGAAGAGGGAGAAAAATATGTGTATGTATACACAGGATAGCTAGGATAATTGTACTATTGGTATCTGTTGGTTTATTGAAAGGAACTGATAATGTGCAATTGTTTGGTCAATCTTGCATGCCTATATCTGGCTATACGTACAACCATTTGAAGATGACATTATGCAATACAACAACCACTGTTAATGTCCTATCATGATGTTTTGAAGTTCTGTATCATTTTTATTGTTCTCTATCCTGTTTTGTTTATGTATTTGCTGTTATTTTGGTTTTTTCTTTTTTCTTTAAAATGAAAAACAAAATTTATATGTATAAACAAGGACAGCTGGGACAGGTGTATTGCTGATGTTTGTGGTTTATTGAAAAGAACAATCAGTGCTAAAAATTGTCTTTTTTCTTGACTAATATTGCACACTTGAACCTGGTAATCAGAATGACTGATTTGAAAGCAACAATATGCAGGATAAGAACCATTTTGCTGAACTCCTATCATCTTGTATGGTGAAGTTCTGCATCATTTCCAATTTTTTTATTATTTATTACTGTCTTTGATCAACTTTACATTCTTATGTCTGGTGGACTGAGCAACTTTGTTGACGATAACAGTATGTAATGTAGCAACTATTGTTAATTCCTATCATTCTGTCTTGAGGTCATGCACTATTTTTGTTGTTTCTGTGTTGTTTTGTAAATTTTTTTTAATTTAAAAAATAAATACAGTGTTGTAAGCCAGGCATGGTGGCACACACCTATAATCCCAGCACCCAGGAGGCTGAGGCAGAAGGATTTCTGTGAATATGAGGCCAGCCTGGGCTACACAGTGAGTCCAAGACCAGCCTGAACTACACAGCTAGATTATGTCTCAAAAAAAAAGAAAAAAAATGTTGAGATGTAACTCCTTGACAGAGTATTTCCCTAGTATTCACAAGGCACTAGGTTTAATTCTAGCACTTTTTTTGTGTGTGTGTGATACTAAGAATTGAACCCAGGGCCTTTGCACTGAGCTATCTCAGCTCTTTTTTATTTATAATTTTTTTTTTCCAAGACAGGGTCTCATGATACAGTTTAGGCTAGCCTTGAACTCCCAGCAATCCTCCTGCTTCAGCCTCCCAAGTGCTGAAATTATAGCCCTGGATCACCATGCCCAATTTATTTTTTATTTTGAGACAGGGTCATGCTAAATCACCCAGGTTGGCTTGAACTTGTGATCCTCTTGCCTCAGTCTTCCAGAGTGCTGGGATTACAAGTACGTACTATCAAGCCTGGCTAACCCAGTACCATGAAAATGGGCTTTCCTCTCCACTGCTGCAAACAGCACACACCTGTCCACCTTTCCTACAGACATCTGGCAACATGACTCAAGGACATGAAAATGGTGACACCTCGGACCCAGCCATTTTATAGGTGGTGTCTCAACTCAGGAAAGAATTGGACAAGTGGGGTCAGGCACCCACTTGGAAGACTGCACTGCATTCACTTAGGGTTCGGCAGGCAACTCACCTTAAAGCCACCTCCAACTTCTCCAAGGACATTTACAACAGGCACCCTGGTATTTTCAAAATGGACTTCACAAACTGAAACAGAAAATTTCAGACCTTACCTAGTAACACAAACCGCTTTGTACTTGAACAGGTACACAATTCATTCATTCATCATCTGACATCAGGATGGACAGTACAGAGAGAGACAAATGTCTGGGGGTTCACACTTGGGTCAAAGAGGCTGACTAAAGTACACGTCAACAGCACGGACTGTGCTATGGGTGAAACGCAGAGAGGACGGAGATAGAGCTGAGGGTAGAGGGCTGGGTAATAGATGCACTCAGGGCTGGACCACGCTGCTAAGAGAACTTCTAGCAGCACTTTAAAGGACAAAAGAGTGGAGAAAGAGCAGTGTTTGAGCTCATGCACAAACACTTCCAAAGGCCACAGGTGGATGGGATTCTTAGTTCCTAACCCTAACAAAACCCTGCCCCACGTTGTCTGCAGGGCAGCAGTAGTGCCCCCCACCCACATCCCATCAAGAGGGCAGCTGTGCCTCCCGTCCTGATGCCAGGTGGGGTCAAGGAAGCAGCTAGCTGAGCAGGAGCACAGGCCTCGGGGTGTATATGCCACAGTGTTGACACAAACCCATGGCAACCTGAGCCAACCCATAGCCTGGAGCAGGCTGCCCAGCACTCAAGGACCATGAAGCAGAAAGTGCTCTTGCTGAGCCAGCTCTGGCTGCCAGGCAGGCAGCAGCCCTAGTTAGATGTGTGCCAAAGGTGGGGCCGACCACATGAGGAGCAGTGGGGACAGGGTGAGGGGCGTGCAGCAGCATCCACAGAACTCCCCAAAACAAGGGGTATTCACATGTTGTTACATAAATGTGGCACCTGCTGGCCATCTCCACCAGAATAAAGGGGTTCAGGAAAGGGAAGATTGGGACTCAAGGGGAGCCACGCCACATGTGGTGAGTTGGGTCGGCTGATCATTCAACCAAGTACCACAGCTACACCAAACGAGCTGGGTGAAATGCACGAAATCACTACAGTCTTTGGCTGTGGGACCAAGGTCAAAGGCTGCAAGGTGAGGGTGGTACCCTGCCTCCCCCTCTGTAGGGAGCTGCTGAAGCTGGAAACCGATCACATGTGTGAGGGGCGAGGCAAGGCCAGTCCAACAACAAAGAGCAAATCCACATAGAAAAGCTGCTTCAGTCCAGAGAACGCCAAGCCCCGAGATAATGCAAGCAATCAGTTGCTAGGCAAAGCTGTGTCACATGACACTAACTTTGCTAAATGTATAAATAAATGTACCTATGGTAGTTGAGCAGTTTCCTTTCCTCCCACCGGGAGAGAGAGGGTTCCACCTGACCTCAGCTTTTGTCTCTTATCTTTATTTTTCCCACCTTCTCACTATCCTCCCCCACTGCCAACATCAAGACCCATGTGGGACACGCCACCCCACAAGGCTCACCTTGTGTCACCTGACCTTCTCTCACAGAACCTTGCATGGTCCCAGAGCACAGAACCCTGCCAGACCTCCAAGGGGATCCAGCTCCTGGCCCCTGTACTGTCTCCTAATGGCGTGCCAGGCTACACCTAAGCAGAGGGTCTCAGTGCCTCTCCTCCCTCAGGTGCCACACTGAGGAAACCTCAGCGGGGAGCACTGGTTACAGTGGTCAGACTCAGGGCAGCAGCTGGTGCTAAGGTGCTATCGCAGTCACATCATGCACTGCACACCCCTCCTCTTCCTGCAGCTTATCAAATTACAGCACAGAAGACCACACACGCTTGTTCACAGCCACACAGGACAAAGCTCAGGGTCTCTGTCCCTTCCACCTCCAGCCTAAGCTAGGTGTGTGCTAAAACTCCACCCAGAAGGCCAAGTACCTAAATACACAGGGCATGCAGAGGTAGACAGAAACGTGCCCAGGGCATACGTAGTGCCCTCCAGGATGGACACTCAAGATCAGAAGTAGGAGACCCAAGGGGCACAGCATTGTGAAGACCCCAGGGTAGTACTATAAGGACTAGGACAATGAACAGGGGATACTCATCCTATGAACCCAGTGCTCCAAGGGTCTTGGTAAAGGAGGTATATGCTAAGTACAGAGTTTCAAGGCAGCAAAGTTGGGAGGCCTATCACAGGACAGTGACCCGAGTCACCTGCTGTCCTGCCACCATAGTGTCCACTGCCAGCCCCCACCCTGAGGCAGACAGCTTTACTGGGCTCAGTCCCTTGGGAGTCACCAAAGTTCAACACCCTGAGTGGTGCACAGCCCATGGCTGCCCAATTCTTTAGTAATCTCCAGGAACTCGTGGGCATTGCCAGAGAAGACAAGGCAGCATCCTCAACTGAATGTTGCTAAAATGCTGAATTGAAACCAGAGGATTTTAACCTCACTTTACACTGGTAAATACCAAGCATCAATCCCTCTCTCTGTCCCACATGCAAGCACGTATAGGCACACACACAAATACACACAATACTTACTGTTAGAGCCCCGAAGGCCTAACTTATCTTCTGGTTCCCCATTAGTGACTCCACCAAAGTCTCTTTCTACTATAAATGCTGTGATCCTGTCCTTTATAGAGCCATCGGAATCAACCACCTCGGTCTTTGCAAACACAGTGAAAATCTCAGCCAGCCCCCCATTGGTGATCCAGACCTGAGCAGAGAGAGCAGACAGGCCCTGGAGATGCTGCTCGGTTCCATCTCCATCCCACGGGCTTTGGTCAGGGCCCCCCGAGGCCATACCTTGGAGCCATTGAGGACATAGTGTGTCTCATCTTCACTCAGCGTGGCTCTGGTCTGGATGGAGCCAGTATTGCTCTTGCTACAGAGGGAGAGATACAATGGAAGGAGAACAATGTTGAGAATAATGAAGGAGGGACCCGGGACCTGGAAACAGAGGTGATTAGACATAGTAGCTGGCAAGCTTTTAAAATATAGGGTTGACAGAGGTGCTCAGCTTTCCCAGATACAGGACACCTGTCCTTCTCAACTCTGTGGTTGCATAGACAGTTTGTCAGCAGAAGGCCAGTTCCAGTGAAACCTCATGACATAAACTAGGGGCAGGCTGGATCTGGCCCTCTCTGCTTTAACACAGAGGTGGTGAAGGCGGAGGTTAAAACTTGAGTCTAGACTGCTACAGAAGAACCTGGGCTCCTCGTGGGCTCATCTCAGCTGCTATGAAGAAACATTTGGGTGTCCCAGGAGAGATCACTACAGGTGATCTCTGATCACAGTGACTCTGATCACTACATCTGAGTGGTCAGAGTGACAGACTTGCCATCTGCAAAAGTCCTCTGCTCCGTGCAACTATGTGACCTTGGGATGATCACACAACCCCACTGAACCTCCATTCCTAACCTGGAAATGAGATCCAGCCCCCAACTCACATGCTCAGTGAGGTGAACTGAAGCCTGAAGACAACCCCACATACCACAGGGGCAGAAAGCCACAGACGCTGGCTGACAGATGCCCTTAGGTTGTTTTCACATTTGTTAGTCCCCCTTGGAAGACAGCTGGCAAGAAGGGTCTTCACACTAACTAGAAGGTTTCGAGCAGGGAGGAGATACAAGCTAGCCACCCCACACAGATAAGACCTCTGTCCTGGAGACAGGCTGCAGATGACATCCCAAGGCAGACAGACCTGGCTGGTTCTGTGAGGCAGAAGGCTGCAACATGCTCCCCAGAGGCCAGCCTGGGCAGGTATTTGGCCTTCTGTGCCTCCGTGCCGACCAAGACGATCCCCTAAATGAAACACACAAAGACTAACATCTCATATAAGCTGGAGGCAAAGACTGTGGCAATGTGCTCATGAGGCACTGCCCTTCCGGGCTGGTATTTACTTCATACAAGAGGAGACAGCGAGAGCCCTGGGCTGCCGGCCTCAGGCAGAGCACAGGGAACCTGACCACTGCAGGGGCCTAGCCACACACCTGCCAGCTCCAGGGTCAGTTCATCACGTTCAACCAACATCTCCCAGACAGGTCAGGTGGCCTTGGGTAAGGACTGTCCCTGCTCTAAGCCCCCACCCTGAGATCCACAAGGCAGGGACACCCCTCACGGGCAGGTGATCAGGAGGATAGATGTGCAGACACAGGAAAGCTGGAACCGGACCCCACATGCGAAGGTGCCAGTCAGAGTGGCCCCCACCTTGTCACCAAATAACTGTGGGGATGGCTGGTGTCACTTGGGTGGGAAGCTATGCACAGAGCTCTTTCAGACCTGAAATCTACACTGACTAGGGTTAGCCCCAGTAAGAGGCCACCAAGAACTTAGTACTCTGCCCTGGTGTGCTCTGAGCCTGGGGACAGGGAGGTTTGTGTTCAGACAGCAGGGGAACAGCTCTGACAGCGTGGCATGAAGAGCTGCCTCAGACCTGGGCGTTGAAGGCTAGGACAAAGGTGCTGGGGACAGGAGGGGGGTTCAGTGCCAAGGAACAGCATGAGCTAAAGCCCACTGCACATGCAGGCCTAGTGGAGGGCAGGGCTGCAAGGACAGCTGGGCTTGCTCCCCTCTGAGACCCTGAGCCATTCCCATAGTATGAACAAGGCCCCCGCCTCCTGCCACCTCTACACAGCTGCCAACAGAGACCTCGGACAACTGACCTTGAGTCCCAGCGCCTGGTGCGCTGCCAGGGTCACAGCGATGGACCCATCCAGGCTGAGGATCTCCCCCAGCCGAGTGCTCATGGTGTTGGAGAGGCCCAGCCCGCCTAGGAGAGACAGAGCAGCATCAGGCACACCAGCCCACTAGTCCCAGAATGCAAACAATGCGCTGCTTTCCCTAACAATAAAGCGATACCGGTTCACCATTTAAAAAACCACAATAAAAGCAAAGGAAACAAAAATTGCCCATAATCCTATCATTCACAAAAAACATTTTTATGTATGTCCTCCTACACTTTATATGAACAACATACAAACATATACAAACATACAGACACCTCTATACACAACAAACCCGTAAGGTAAGGGTGCCCTCTGCTAAATGCAGACGGTCCAGTGCCCCACGACCTAGTATCCAGTGACCTCTGGGGCAGAGCTGCATGCTCCCCACTGCAGTGTGAGGGACGGCTCATTCCTATGCACTGTGGGCTGTTCAGCAGCACCCTGGCCTTCCACCCACGAGATGCCAGATGCAAACCTCCCTAGTCCCACAGTTCTGACAACCAAATATATCTAGACACCAACAAATCTTCCCTGAGGAACGAAATTGCCTTCAAAGCCAGGAATGGCTTGTGCATCTGTAATCCCTACACTCAGGAGGCTGAGGCAGGACTCTGAGTTCAAGGACAGCCTGGGTTACATAGCAAATTTAAGGCAGGCCTACATTACACAGCAAGACTCTGTCTCAAAAAAAAAAAAAAAAAAACCCACAAACCAAACAATAATTCTACTTCAGTGGGTATCACCTAAGAGTAAAAAGACAAGTAAAAAACAGAAAAATAAAAACTCCGAAGAACTTAGATACTTGCATTCAATCTTAGTTTTCTGGAGGGGACTATGGGTGGCCTTGTGCCCATTTCTCAAATGATATATTGTTCCCAGGCCCAAGTCAAGGCCAACATACACATATACACACATAGCAGCCTTGAATGTCCACATACACAATGTCAGCAGCAGCATCCACACAGGTGAAGGTCCAACTGGTCCTATCATATCCTGAGTATTCTCTGCTAAAACTTGGATGCTTTTCCCTCATGTGCATGGGTAGGATCCTGGGGGACATGATCCCGCAGGGACACAGACAAGGAAGAACCAAGAGCAGGAAGGGGACACATGGCCCTAAGGACTGGGGACCTAGGCACCACACACTCCAGTACAGTGGCTTCTACCAGGCTTCAGGATTCTCTGCCCTAAAAAGCCTCCCAAAACTTGCAGATGTGACTCTGAGGCTCCTCCTGTTGCCTTGTTACTACTTTTAAGCTGCTGCCAGCAGAGCCTCCTAACTCTTAGCGTCCCATCTCTTCTCATACTCAGCACTGGGCATAGCCACCTGTGACAGTGACAGTGCTCCTGCAGTTCAGGAGTTCCCACCCTGGTGCCGGGTGGCTGGGACAGCTTGTAGCTGTTTCCATGTGGACACACAGGGTGTGTGTGGCCGCAGACATGAATGTTGTGCTGCCTCCGTAGGGCCAGCAGCCTGGTGGATCAGGTACGGTCCTCTGCAGAGGCAGGACAAACTCTCACACACGCTGGGGAGACAGATCAGGTAGGGTAACAGAAGAGCACGGAAAGCTCCCAGCTGCTGGAGATTTCTGGCCAAGACTCACATCAGAGTGTAACTGGGAACCACCCCAAACAGTCTGTCTTTTCAAAAGGACCAGCAGCCGCCGAAAGAACTCCCTACCCGCAGCATGTCCACATCTCCAGACCCTCAGCTGACCATGGCAAAGCCCGCAGAGCCCAGAGCCACACTTCTCTGCAGGCCGCAGTTGTCCTGTATCTGGAGGCTGCCATTCCTGAACAGCAGCCTCTTTGGGACAAGAGCATGGCGCCTCCTGAAGAGGGGGACCCCCTGTTACGGTTTATATCTGTGTGTCCCCCCAAAGCCTCCTGTGGCCCTGGGGCAGGCTATTAGAGTTTGAATATGGGTGTGAGAGCTACACCCACCCTGGGGTGGATAGTTTGCATATGTAAGGGAGAGGAGGAAGCTGCTTGGGGAGATTCCTCCCCCATTCCGTCCTGGTGTGTGTGCCCTGGTGTGTGCTGGCGGCTTGGCTGTGCTGCCAGCCTGAGATGCAGCCCTCTGCCACGTGCCACTCTGCCTTATAATCATGCCTAGTACGGACTGAAACCTGCACAAACTGTAAGCGAAATAAACCTTTCCTCCCTTAATTTTGGTTGTCAGATATTTTGTCCCAGCAAGGAGAGAAAGGTAACTGAGACACCCCCCAGGCCTGTTTCCCTGGCTTACCATATTCTTCTGGGACCTGCATCCCAAAAAGCCCCAGGCTCTTCAGCTTCTCCAAAGTATCATCTGGGATTTTCCCCTCCCGGTCAATTTTTCCAGAGTCCACTGACAAGAGGAAATATCTCCATCAGGCAAAACAGACATAGGTTATGTTAAAACAAGTAACATAGAAGTTCACACATCGATTTTGGATAGCATGCTGGTGCCAGACATTTGCCAAACTGGAAAGTATCTACATGTGTTTGATTTTACCTAATTGGCCCAGAAAGAATTGTATTTTTTTAGTCTGGGCGGGGCTCTGTTTGCTTACCTGGTTGCTTTCACTATGTAAAATGCCAACAAATAACACACTGGTGAGATGTAGATTACTGCAGCCATACTTAACTTGATTTTTACAAAATTACCAACATGTTCTACAAAAGGAGAGAGGAGCAACCCAGCTACAATGTGCACACTGAACACAGGCCAGTTACCAGGTGGATAAATACCATGTCTAACTACACAAATAATGCTCTGCAGTACTGCACAGGAGGAAGAACTGATGCAGGCCACATGAAGGAAACCCAAAATTGTTCCTAAAGAAGCTGAACAAAAACACCTGTGTAAATAAAATTCCAAAAATATAAGGGAATCTAAAAAAAAAGGCAAATCAGTGACTACCTGGAATCAGGGAGGGAATGAGTGGAAGAAGACGCTTCTAGAGGTAATGCATATGTTCATCACCTTAGGTGTTTTACTGGTGCCTGAGGGTCCAACTTAAACACGTACAATTTATTGTAAATCACTTATATCTCAATAAAGCTTGGGGGGGGCTAACAAATCAGATGGTATAGAAACAAAGGACGAAGGAAATAAAGTCAGGTTAAAAATACAAAGATAAACCAGGCATGGTGATACCTGCCTATAACCCAGTACTCCAGGAGGCTGAGATAGGAGGATCACAAGTTCAAGTCCTGCCCAGGCAAATTAGCAACTTGGTGAGATCCTATCTCAGAGTAAAAAAAATTAAAAAGAGTTGGGGATGTAGCTTAGTCCAAAGGCCCTGGGTTCTGTCCCCAGTATCAAAACACAAACAAAAAACCATACAATACATGAATGTGTGCACACACATATTTATATTTTGACATGTAACAGGTTTACATCATCTTTAACTTAAAGTAGTAATATTTTTTGATTTCTCAGTTTTAATTCCAGATAGGACAAATACTGGTAGGTAACAAGCACTAAACAAGTGATATCTGGAACCCTCAGTGTTGAGGATGGGCTGCTACTACTCTTGCATGAAGGCCCTCAACAGGGGTCCCTCAGAGGGATCTCAGCCCCTGCTAAGGTATGGCCCACTGTCTTGAGGCTTGTGGCTGGTTCATAAAATCCTTAGGATGAGTCAGGTGTGGTGGCTGGCTCACACCTGCCATATTCCAGCACTTGGGAGGCTGAGGTAGGATTGCCTGAGCTACACAGTAAGTTCAAGTCCAGCCTGAACTACATAGTAAGGCACTGTCACAAAACAAAACAAAACTGCTCACGATAGATATCTGATATCTGGGGCTGGGTATATCGCTCAGCGGTACAAGCACCTGCCTAGATATCAGATATCCACACTCAGCCTTTGGGCACATCTAAAGCATCTTACACACCATATTCACCAATATATGAGCCACAGGCTGGGAGTGTGCACACCTTGGCTTCTGTCATCTATTATTCCAGCTACTCCATTCTGCTGTATTTTACACAAGTGCTATCTGCAGCAGTTTGGAAATGTCTCAAGTAGGCCTTCACCACAGACACACAGAGATGATTGAACTAGATAACTTTTCATTAAGGAGCCACTATGAGGATCCCTGAGGCATAATATTATGAGTGACAACTACTCTGGCCTCATTAATGAGACTCAAGAGGGCTTCCTCTATATGTGCCCCGCCTCTTACACAAACGCCAACACAATCACTCCTTCCACAGAAATGAGCACACAGGAAACCATACATACCCTCTTCAGTGAAGAATCTTTCCACAGGTCCCACAAACTGATTGATTTCATTCAGCTCATCTTGGCTCACCTCTGGAAATGGGAAAACTCCTTTCTAAAAGTGATAAAACATTTACTAAAAATTAAATTTTAAGCAACCTATAACATGGTAATATTAGTCAAAGGCAAGGAAAGAGATGTGCTGGGTTCCACACCTGGCCAGCAGAGCACAACAGAAAGCAGAAAGATGCACAAAGCAAACCTCACAAGGGGCTTCAGATACAAAAATTAGTTGTAAGACTCCCCTTCCTATGTCCATCTTCCTCTCCACACAGATAGATGAATCCTGATTTTCATCAATTTCCATATCAGTAGCGAATGCCAAGGACTATCCCACAGACACGGAGCCTGGGGCTCACATTTAGGTTTATCTTTGTGTCCTGCTTACTAACTGGGAGGTCACTGACAAACCCCATCTGAGCCTGTTTCCTCACCTACATGTACACTTGACTCCAGGTCATTATGAGAATCATGGAAGAGAGTGCCCTAATTCAAAGTAGTCACTGAGGGTACATAAAAGTGGCTGGATTCTGAATAGAACTTGAAGATAGAGAAAAAAGATTCACTGTAGGATTAGATATGAACTATGAGAATAAGAGGAATCGAAGGTCCCTCCAGGAGACTGAGCTGAGTTGGTGGAACTCTAGAATCACCACTATGATAAAAGCTGAAGGGATGAGCAGGACTAGCACAATTTTCCAGATATGCTATTTAGAGATGTCTATCAGACTTCTAAGCAGACATCTGACATCCCAGACATCTGAGCTCCTGAGGACAAAGGGAGAAATAAAAAGTATTGGAGTTGAAGGGAGACATCTCCACTGGAGAAAGAAATTGGAGTCATCAAGGTACAGATGGCATTTAAAGCCAGCACACTGAACTAGGTCATCAAGGGGATGGTGTCAATGAAAAGCAAAATCTACAGACTAGTCTTGGAAAACCCGCATTCCAACTGGGATAGTGGGAAACACTGGCCAATGTCTAGAAGTCAAGGAGCCCAGAAGGAAGCAGCAAAGGAGACCGAGAAGAACAATGATTTTTTTAGAAGTCAGGTGACTAATGTGCACCCAAGAAGGCACAGTGCTGCTCTGCATCACATGTCCCTGATGGGTGAAGTAGGAGGAAGACCCTTAGATTTGGCCATAGGGAGGTCACCACCGACCTGTATGATTAACGGGGACAAAGCCTGAATAGTACAGGTTCAAAATCCAGTAGAAGGAACAAGTGATGTAAATGAGAAAGGAGAGAATTACCCCTGAGTGGGTGAGCAGGCTGGGATCTAATGACCAGGTAAGCCGTCTTGAGGAGACAGTTCATTCTTGGTAATAGAAAAATGGAAACACAGGCCCTCAACAAAGGACAGGTAACAGGGGCAGGGGTGGAAGTTCTCATCTGGGTGCATGGATGTCCTCAGTGGAATGAAGGAAGGCCAACAGTGGCCAGTGAGGGAAGGGAAGGTAGACTGGAAGAGGTATAAGAACTTTTGGTTCTATCTTTACTACAACGCTGGGAAACCTGAGGCCCCAGAATGAGAAGCCTATGAGCTGCAATTCTGGGGGAAATGGTTTCCTGCCTGTTTAAATCTTACTTCTGTATTTTCTAGCATGACAAATCACTCTCAGTCTTAGTCCCAGCTTCTGCATCAGTAATTCTGCTTAAGGTTTTGGCCTGAAAACATGAGAGGACTGTTCTAAAGTGAAGGCAGCAAATAACTGCTTCCTCCATCCAGAATCAGCCCAGATTCCTGCCAGGTTCAAAGCACTGTACCTCTAAGGAGGGAGCAAATCCTGTGCTTACTCCTACTTTACAGAATAAGACACGGAGGCACAAAAGCGAAGGGACTAACCCAAGGTCACAAAGCCACTAAGTGCTGAAGCCAGCACTGTCTCTGGCGGCACAATACAGAATTTCCACACACTATGTATCTCACTGGGGTTCTACAACACATCAGTGAGGCGAACACCACTCGCTTCATTTAAGGCTAAGGTGAAATCCAAGTCCCCGGAGCTGAGAGGATGAGTGCTTTACAGCCACGCTGTTGCTACTGGCTGGATTCTGGGATCTCTCCAGCAGATGTCGTGGGAAAGGGCCCTTGGAGCCAAATTTGCGAGGTCCTCCCAACAGCAGGATGAAGCGCTAGGGCTCGTCTGAGTCGGGAAAGCCGCGGGGACGGGGCCGAGGCGGGGGCCTGGGGCTGCGCTGCGTTGAGGAATCAGACGGCGAGCCCCGCGCATTTCCGGGCCAGGCGAAGGGCGGCGCAGCGGCCCCTTGTCTCGACTTTCTCACGTGTCCCCGAGCACGAAGAGCCGCGACACAGCCCACACCACACTCCCCCAGAACGGACCGCGCGTTCCCACCGCGCGTGCCAGGAGGACTCGGGAGTCTACCGAGTCAGGACGCCCCGCCCCTCCATGCGTCTGTCAGGCAGGTTTGGAGACTGACAAAGCTCCATCCTACTCGTGCTGCTAAGGACGAAAGGCGGGCTCCAGGGAGCAAGGGCGGCCCGGGCTCGCCTCACCTTCTCGATTTTGCCCAAGAAGAGCTCCTTGGCGAACGCTCGGCGCGGCGGACCGGTGCGCAGCGGACGCCGGTTCGCCCCGGGCGCCACCAGCGACTGGCAGGCTCGCGCCGCCGCAGCCCTGCGCAGGAAGAGCCAGCAGCTACTCATGCCGCCAGCGGTCGCTCCCAAAGCCGGGTCACCTACACCGGCGCGCCGGGGTGAGAAGCTGGCCCGCGCCGCCTGATGACGCCACTGGCCCGCGCGGCCGGCGCTGCGCTCATGTGACCACGACCCGGGAAGTTGGGAGTGCTTGACACCGGCTGGGAGATCCGCTAGTCGGAAATCTGCAAATGTGGCTGCCAGTTCCAGTCCTGGGTGGCTTCCTAGGTACCCGGGATCCCGAGGGGCCACCTAATCCCCCGCCCTTACCCCCCACTTATCCGCCCTCCACCCCCCCACCCCCACCCCCGCGCTCCTTTCCAGGATGAGGCCGTGGGAAAAGGAAAGAAAAGCAGGGGGGAAATTCACGGCCTCACTGGATGTCGGGGGCGCCCATGTTTGAAGCTGTCCATCTCTGCCCACCCCTCCAGCAAGCTGCTTCCTATGCCTGAGTGTTATTCAGTGTCCTCACCTATGAAATGCTGAAATCAATCAAAAACGGGGTATCATGAGGATTAAGTGAGCTAAAGTGAATTTTCCCACTCTACCCACCCAAGGTTGAAGAATCTGGTACTCCAAATGTACAGAAAAAGATACTCAAAAATAGAAGACTTTCTTCTTTTACATTTGCTCCTAATATTTACAAGCTTTGAAAACCTCAGGAGAGCTGATACGTTAAAAGCATTGACAACCACCTAAATACCTTTGATTTTCATTTACGTTTCAAAAGCCAAGATAGCCTAAGTTCCAAATTTCAGAGCATGTTGCCTGTGATTACACTATGAAACATATCATTGAAACCTGTGGAATTCCTAAAGCAATTTGTTATGGTTTGGCTCTAGAATGCCCACCCACTCCAAAGCCTCGTGTATTGATGGGCCATTCAGAATATACTTCAATCATGGAGGCACTGTGCTTGTCAGCGGACTGGTCCACTGATGAGCTCCTTGCTGTGTGCTCTTAGGAGGAAGAGCCCTCAGCAGAGGTGGGTCACTGAGGGTGTGCTTGAGAGAGCATATCTCCTTTCCTGTTTTCTCCTTCTGCTTCCTGGTTGCCTTGCTGCAAGCAGCGTTCATCCACCCAGGTGCTTTGACCATTACCAGTACTGCGTTGGCACTGACCAAGCATGGACTGAAACTTGTCAAAGTGTGAGCCAAAGTAAACCTCTCTCCTTTAAGTTATGACTGTTGGGTGTTTTGTCCCAGTAATGAGAAAATAATCAAGACAGTTGCTCTAGGTAAAGAGCCAAGGAATCACATTAACTCACCAAGTCATTGTCTTTTTGCACTGAAGTGCAGGCTGGCCAGCTGACAGGCCAGCCTTGAAAAATGTGAACTCATGGAAATTACAGACAGGAGATACAATGGCAGTCCATGTTAAAGGGATTTGCTGTGGGATGCTCCTCCTCACCTGGAGCAAGTCCTCACCTGTAAGGATCCTTTGGGTTCTTGCTGTACCCCGGGAAGGAACAGCAGCGAAAATGAGGAAAAAAATAGACACGAGACAAAAAGCTGGCATCAGGTGGAGGTCCTCTGTCTCCTGAGCAGAGAAGGGGAACTGCCCAAGAACAGTACAGCATTTATTTTATACCCTCGAGAGGTTGATTTATTTCAGCCTCTCTGCCCAGCAATCAGTTAACAAGCTACAACAGCAGGTTTACATGCTTCAAGGAGCTCCCATGTTCTTGAGCTGGTTTCATCCTGCATGCGTAATCACTTTCCAGCTTCAGCTGCTCCCCTCATAGCTCTCTTCTCTGTTTTGTAAATGATGACTATTTAGCTGAAGCTGGAAAAACTGTGCTTGAAGAATACAGTCCAAATATCCATAATGGTGGTCAGTTACCAGTCTAGCTGGCAAATGTCTGAAGTTGTTGGTGATTTGGACCCTTTACAGCTAACATCTTATTGTGGCAATGTCTTTTTATACATCTTGTGGTTATACTTTTCTGCTGGATATTTAAGACTGAATTAAGGCAAAATCCATAATAATCATTTTTTGCTCTCTATCAAGATCAGTTAAGTCTCCTCAGGGTTACTTTGGAGCCAGCCATGTGCAACACCTCTTAGATCCAGTGTCAGTGTCAGCCATCTGGATGAGTCACAGCCATTGCTTGACCAAGTTGCTTTCTGTGAAAGCTTGAGAGACCTTTACTCTCCAGGTGACTCTTGTTAGGTACACTATACATCATAGATTACTTTCCTCTGTGGTCCCTTAAGCTCCTTGATCAGAAAATCAGGGACTCAGCTGAGTTATAGGATGCCATAGCAGAGCTTCTCTCCTGTCCAGGGTTCTCACTGACCTTGGAGGGCTAGGGCCAAAATATTGGCTTTCCTCTTAGCCCATTTATCTTTTTAATTTTTGGTCCCCAAATGTCAGTTGTTAAAAATCTAGAAGAGAAGCTTAATGACATTACAGTATAATAGAGGCGATATGCTTACATTACCAACTATCTGAATATCGAAATCCCTTAGAACATAAATTGGAACTATTATTTTCTTAACAACTGTGGATATCCTAATATTTAAATCCCTATAGAATGTTAATGGATAATAGTTACATTTTTACATAGAAACTAGAAATCAAAACCATACATACTGTTGCCACATGACAATCATGACATTTTGTAACATACTTAAATTTTTATTTTGACATAACCCTTTTTACCAATCATCTGCATCTAATACACAAGAAACTTTTCCCTAATCTGTTATCCCTTAATGGGATATACAGAAGTTTTTAAAGGCAAAGGTCTGAATCTGAATGAAAACTCTTATCATAAACAATCTTTGCTTGACATTTGGAAGACCTGTACATCTGGACTCATGAATACATTTTAATACACCATGAGATTAACAATAATTAATTACCATGCACATGTAAAAAAACCTTTATTTCTTAATTTAGTTTTGTACAAGAGCATCTTTTGTGAGAAAACCTTATATTTTTTCTGGAACACTTTTCTTTTAACCATGACCAAATTATTGGAGGTGTTTCCCAGGAGACTCGAGATAACTGGGGCCTCCTTATTAGTGAATAAAGGTTGGCCACCCCTTTATTCACCAATTGGAGTTCTGCCCAATAATTTCTCTTCACGCTAAGGAATTGTGGATAAATATCTTAATTCTTTTGATGAGCTTCAAGAAAGGCAATTTTGATATTATTTAAACCAGCTGGTTACTTAGGTGAAAGCATGGTTTTAAGTCTATATTCCAAATTGTATTATAGACAAATGATAAAAGGAAACTGGTTGAGCTCAAAATAAAGGGGAACAGCTGTTCACAGAATGACAGACATAGATGTAACAAGTATACAGAACACACAAACATCTTACAAAACCAGAGTGCCCTGAAATATAGTCTAGAGAAAATTGAATTATAGTAACTATATTACAATTTTTTGAAATTTGTAATTGTAAATCAGTTGGTCAGATTTTGTTGTTTGCTATTTAGCAGAGATCTCTTTTCAGAAAAGTTTGGAAGGAATATAATCCTTAATCTATAGTGAATATTACAGTCTTTGTATTTTATTCTGTCTTAAGAATACTGGTAACTTTCAGTTCAGTTATCTTTATGTTATGGGGGTACTTGGGGCCCACATGGCAAAGTCTGTCTGGGCAGGAACATCTAGCTCTCCTACAATTTTGACAGGTGATATCCTCCACTCAGTAAGGGTTGCAAGACTTCTGGCACGTTCTGCAAAACTGTTTGAAGTAAACCTTGTTCGTGACCTGAACACACCACACATATGTACTCTCCCAGTGGATGTTTCAGTCCTGGTAGTGATAATAGCCATATTTTTGCTGGAAGCAGGTGCTCCTTGCCTGGCTCAGTGCCTAGTGGCTATCTCTCCTGCACAGTGATGACCACGTCCCCACCACCAGAAGCCGCTCCAGATTCTGCAGTGCTGGCTGTTGGACTGTGTCACTAGTTCCAGCATCCTGCTGCTCTTGCCCAGAACTCAGTGGTGCGGATGCCTTCTTCACTGCCCCCTTTTCCTCCTCCAGCACCGCAGGGCCCTGTGTGCCTTCCAGGGCCTCCTGCAGGCAGCCAGTGAGGCAGTGGGAGACCATGGGTGAGCACATGGTAAGGGAGCATGGGAAGTGCATGGGGGCAGCCAGGGTTCCTGGGTCCCAGGCCCTGCACAGTGGCATATGCCTCCAGAGTGCACACTGCACTGAGGTGTAGGTGTAGCATTCAGTTTCACCTGTACCCCCACATTGTGGCAGCTGGGCCTGCAGGGGCACAGCCCAAAGCCTGGGGTCTCAAGTGCAACAGGAGTGTGGTGGAGGAAAAAGAGGCAGGAGGGTGTCCCCCACCATGGAGCCACCAGCCATCAGTGCCCTTGGCATCCAGTGGGTAGGAGAGGAGGTAGGAGTAGGAGGTGCACACCAGGTACCTGAATGCACCCAGCACCTCATCTCCCACTGCAGCCATCCAGGCAGCACCCATTATTTGATGGGCCCTGAGGCAACTCCCGTGGGAGTTTCCCGGGAAGAGCCAACTTTTCCCAACAGTTCTAGATCTACACTCATTATTCCAGTGATGCCCTCATCGACACTTAGTACAAGGACTGCAAAGTTTAGCTGAAGAAACAGATAATGGCTGTGTTACGGCAGAAATTCCCTTGGCATAAACTGGGCTGTATTCCACAAGAGACCCGAGTCTATTGAGAACAAAATTGTGTTTCTCCTGATGGCTGGAAGGGGTGCACTTTAGCCAGTGGCTACCTACCCTTTCCCCTCACTTCCCTTTGCTCCCCTTGTACCCCAATAGATGTCCTCCAGGGCTATCACACAGCTACCTCCACCCCAACATGAGGGCAGCCAGGCACTGTGATACCCTCCCCACTTCCCACTTCACTCCATACCATTGCATTTTAGAGAACAGAGAGGGTGCCCTGGAGTGGCTAAGATCAAGAAGGAAGGGATAGGGACACCTTATTTGCACACCCAGCATTCATAGCAAACTTTTCAGAATATTCCCTGGTTTCAGCCCTCACCCTTATTGACATAGGTCTGCAGTTGCTGCACAAGTAGCACTCCTAGGAATGCCTAGGAATTAATCTAGGAGACTTCC